TCGGTACGCCGGTAGACGGTTTACCGTTTCACCGAACCGTTTACCGACGGTATCGGCGGCCGAGCTGCGAATTGGGTGGGTCGGTATACCGAATCCGGTATCGGTAAATACCGACGGTAAATTGGTAATACCGATACCGAACCCCAAAACGTGCAGCAGGAAGCCAGTCTTCCCGATTTCGCCTACCATTCATAAAACCTCTTTCTGCTCAAGAACTTAGAAGTGTGAAACTACAAAGGGAAAATCCAAATTCAGCAGCAATTCCGCAAACGAGAAAACAACAAGAACAAGAATCGGAAATTCCCATTCCCTCGTTCTCACCCTCAGCTCAAACCGGAGAGTTGTTGGCAAAATGGAACAAAAGCGAAGGTCGGAAGAGAAGGAAAGAACCTGGCAAGTCCCATGGCTCGTGTTTACAGATCTCCACCTGAGGAATCACCTCGACGCACTTCTCGTCGCCGTCCAACTTCTTCTTCAGGTAGTAGGATATCAGCTCCACGTCCGTCGGCGAGAATTTGAACCCGGGAAACATCGACGACGCCTCGATCGACATCTGCGTCTCCCTCGAAACCTCGCCGTCGTTACTCCTTGCCATGGCTACTAGTACTATTTTTTCTCTCTTTCCCTTTCTATCGATCCCCGGTTTCATTTTCGCTCTTCCGACTATCTTCCGTTCTTGTGCTTTTTTAGGGTTTGCTCTGTATTCGTGAGAAAGGCTAGCAAGGGAAGCAACCAATGTATGAAGAAATGGTTTTATGTGTACTGAGTATATATTTCTGCAGAGTTGCTCTTTCCGCCGGCAAAAGCCAACCAGCCGCTTTTATCTCTCACATCTCCCTCAACATCCGTCAACTCTTCGATTTCCTCCTCCAATTCGGTACCTTTTTCTCGTCTTCTTCCCCTGCCCTCTTTGCTTCTCCTGCTTCAACTTTCTGGGTTGTGTAAAAATGGCCACTGGGTTTTTCCGTTTGCTGTAAAAACAAATATTCGGTGGTGCCGTGGTGGTAATGGGTGGGTATTTTTTGCTTTTTTCTCTTCTTGCATCTTGCTGACAGGAAAGTGTGGAATGGGGTTTTGAAAAGAGGCAGGGGAAGAGTTAAATGCATGAAATGAATTGATGAGGAGGGCGTAGAGGGCAGTGCAGAAGACTTGCTTAGTTGCTTTTGTTTGTTTCAGTGCTTCAGCGTATGGGCCTTTGACTGTGATAGATAATTGAATGTTAGTATGGAACTTGGAATTAGTGATTGAAATTTGAAAGCATGGAACTTGAATTGAATTAGACAATTAGTGAACTTGAATTGTGAACTAGACAGTAGTGTTGATTATGTGTCAATTTTGTACTTTTGTTGATTATGGTTTTGTACTTTTGTTGATTATGTGTCAATTTTCTTGTACTTTTGTAGGACGAAAAAAGGGAAGAAAGCTGGTTCGCTACCTCCTCGTCCTCGAAGCTCTTCAAAGAAAGGGAAGGCTTCAACTAGTGCACCTTCCACTACGGCAAATCCACCTCCTCCATTGGCAGCAAATCCACCACCTCCATCTGCATCAAATCCACCTCCATCTGCAGCAAATCCGGCTACTACTACCGGTGTTGCTGGTGAGGTACCTGGTGTGCAAAAGAAAATAGACAAGGGGAAGAGGAAGAAGACGTCTAAGTGGTGGATCCCTTATGATGAGGTGCTAGTGGATGACTATCCATTTGGAAAATGCAAACGGTGTGGGACGCTGATCAAAGCTCATTCTACCAACAATGGCACTTCTGGTTTGAAAAACCATCATCTGATGTGCGAGAGGAGGTCGAAGGAATCTAGTGGACAGTCGGTATTAAATTATCAAGCTAGTGGGACTGGTGAGGTAGGCTCTCTTACTCCGTGGAAGTTTGATCAGAACAAAGCTAGACATGCATTAGCTATCATGATAATATTGGATGAGCTTCTGTTTCGATTTGTTGAACGGGAAGGATTTAGGAGATTTATGGCAGTATCACAGCCTTTGTTTGTGATACCTGGAAGGCAAACAATTAGATCTGATTGTTATGTCATTTTTCTGGAGAAGAGCGGTTGATTGAGTTTTTTAACTCAAAGTGCAAAGGAAGGATTTCTATCACTACAAATACATGGACTAGTGATAATAACCAGAATTATATGTGTGTGACTGCACATTTTATTGGAGCTGATTGGAAACTGCAGAAGAGGATTATTTGTTTTGTTCCCATTACCAGTCATACAGGTAGAGATATTGCAGATACTTTGGGAACATGTCTACAAGAATGGAAAGTGAAGAATCTGTTTTGCATGACAATGGATAATGCCACTTCCAATGATGTGCTTGTTGACTGTATGAGGATAAAACTGAAAGGGTGGGGATCAGATTTGCTAGACGGGAAGTATCTGCAGTATAGATGTGTGGCACATATAATCAATCTGGTCGTCTCTGATGGTTTGAAAGAGGTTGGAGTTGCTGTGGAGAGGGTAAGGGATTGTGTGAAATGGGTGAAGTCATCACCAGCTCGGAGTGCAAAGTTCAAGTCTAGCATCGACTACCTAGAGATGGATGGTAGAAGACTTGTGTCCTTGGATGTTCTGACTAGGTGGAATTCCACCTATCTGATGTTGGAGTCTTCAGAGAGGTTTGAGAAGGTGTTTTCTCTGATGTATGATAGTCCTACTGATGCTTCCTTCCGAGACTATGTGGACTCCAAGAAGGGTCTTCCATCTGGAGAAGATTGGAGCAGCATTAGGCGTCTCATGAAGTACCTGAAGTTCTTTTATGATCTTACTCTTCGTGTATTAGGTATGTAAATGAATGAACTATCAAATTTTAAAATTCATTTCTTAAAGTTAAAGTTTATGATTTCTCACTTATATTTTCTTTGTAATTTTTTATTTGTATCAGGGACATCATATGTCACTGCACATACATTCTGCAGAGCCATTGTTGATATTCATGAAGTGATTGCTACTTTGAAGAAGGATGCAGATGAACAGATACAAAGAATGGCAGAAAGAATAGAGGCAAAGGTGAGAAAGTATTGGGTTTGAGAATGATGCTGAATGATGGGGGAGGATAACCTTAGAATAAATAGGATAGGTTTTACATGGCCTGTGTGCTTGATCCAAGGCGTAAACTATACTATTTGACTATGATGTTGGAAGAGATGTATGGAAAGGAAAAAGGGGAAGAATTGGTAGATCAGGTGAAGAAAGAGATGACACTATTGTTCGAGGTATACAAGGCGAAGTATGCATCTTCACATTCTGGATTCCGAAGCTACTACTCAGGACTACTTCTAATATTGCGACTAGTTTCCGAGTCTTCTGTTATGGGAGGTGCCTTTGAAGCTCGGTTTCCAGCAGAAGAGAAAGGAGCAACCTTGAGAGGGGGGGTAGAGTATCTGGTGAGTTGGAGTCATATTTGAGAGATGTTGGTGATGCTGTTAACGAGGAGCTTGATGATCGGAAGTTTGACATTCTGAAGTGGTGGTCTCGGAACAGTGTTAGATATCCCATTCTTGGAGAGATGGTTAGGGATATATTAGCAGTTCCAAGTATCCATCTGTTGCCTCGGAGTCCGCTTTTCAGTTGTGGAGGTTCGAGTTCTTAGTCCTTTCAGATCATCTTTGAGCCCAAACATTGTTAGAGGCCTTGATTTGTGCTGAAGATTGGCTAAGGTATGAAAGTGGAAAGACTGTAGATGAGCTGAAATGATAAGGAAGAAGATCAGGAGACAATCGACTTTGAGAATGGTAAGAATTCAATTCATTCTTCTTAGTTGTATTATTGTATATACTCTTTACTAATATTTGTGTTTTTTGTTTGCACTAGCGGCTAATACTTTCCAAGCTCGAGTGGAAACTGCTACTGTAGTTAGAGCACATAGCTTACCTGATGGGGTTGTTGAGGAGGACGAGGAGGGGGAAGAGGACGAGGAGACTGAGAGTGATGATATGAGTGAGAGTGACGATGACGATGACGATCCCGAAGTTACCCTTCTTAGGAATTTGAAGAAGAAAGGATATGCTAATGTTGGTGGCGGGACAACAAGTTCTATTGGAGAAGGAGGAGCATGAGATGCTAGCTAGTTTATGCGTTTATTTATGTTGTGTTATTTGGGACATTGTGTGAATTTGTGTGAATTTAGAAGTTTGAACTTGTGTGAATTTAGATTTTGGACATTGTCATTAATCATTATGCGCTTTGGTTGATTGACAATTATGTTGATTATCGTCCCTTTCAATTTCAATATTTGATGATACTTAATGAATTTCAGAATTTGAAGTTTGAACTTGTTATAACTTATAAATCAATTATGGTTTGACAAATGACAATTGTAATGTTATAATTATAAATTTATAGTAACTCTTAATATTGTAAATAAGAGTTAAGACTTACATTATTGAGTATATAAAAAAATGAATTTTTTAAAAAAATTGCCAAGAGCAGCCTGCTGCCTCCCATACCCTTCTGCACATAATCGGTTACCGGTTACTTACCGGTTAACCGAACCGGAATATGGTTTTCGCTCCCATGGCTCGGTGTTTCGGTATACCGGTTTTAAACCGGTTACCGAATTGCAAACCGGTAGCGGCATTCGGGCGTGGCTTCAGGGCATTCGGTATACCGTAACCGGTTTATTCGGTAACCGGTTAACCGTTACCGAACCGGTTACCAGCCCTAGTTTTAATTTTTCCATCCCCGGATTCTCCAGAGGCTACGACTAAAACAAAACTGGCTTCTCTGAACGAGAAGCTCGATACTCTGGAGCGTCGACTGGAGCTGCGCCGAACCGAAAAACCGCCCCATGTCGCCCTTTGCGGTAATTCGGTAAACCGGTTTGTAATCGTTTACCGGTAATCGGTAAACCGGTATCGGTAAACGGTAAACAGTTTGACCACCGTCAGTATACCGAAACCGATAAATTCGGACTGATTCCTACCCCTCCTTTCAAAACGGGACGGTATCCGTCGTTGCCCACCCCTAAATTTCCAAAATCTAAACCCACCCACTTAAATCCTTTTCACTTCCTTCGATCTAGGCCGAGGTCAGATGACAGAACGCAAAACCAAACACAACGCGGCAAAGCTCTAAACCAATTCCTCTTTGGTCTCTCTCTCCCTCTCTCTCGTTAGCTTCATCCATGGCCGAACCTCCTCCCTCAACACTGGCCGCCGCGCCGGGATCTAATCCTCCTTCGGAACCCGGAAACGGCGTCCCTCAATCGGATCCAGCTCCCGCCCCATCTCCGGCGCCACCACAGCAACCACAATTCTCGATCGCTCCCCCGCCCAACCCTAACCCTAACCCCAACCCCAGTCCTACTGTCAACTCCACCAATACTCTGGTTCCGCCTCCTCCGCCGGCCTTTCCTTCTGCCTACGGTCTGCCACCGCCGCCTCCGATGTCTGGCGCGGCTGTGCCGCCGATGGCACCGTCGTTTCGTCCAATTCCGCAGTTTTCTCCGCTTCCGAATTACCAAAACCAGACCGCAAATGGCGTTCAGCCTCCAGGAGTTAGTTCAGGTACGGTCATGACTTCCGCTCCACCGGCGATGCCTCATTATCATGTTCCACCTGGTCAGCCGATGCTAAGACCGCCTTATGCTACATTACCCAACGGTTATCCGCCTGTGCCCGGATCTACTCCTCAAGGGATCATGGCCCCGCCTGGTGGGTTATTCTTGTTCTGCCTCTCATTCCGTACTCTGTACCTATCTTTCTCTCGATCCATATTTATCAGTTCTGGGTTTTCTTTTTATGCCCGTACTGTTGCATAGTAATCTGTGTGCTGGATAACTTGGATGGCAATGAAGTTAATTTAATGATTAACGATGTGGGATAGTTTGTTTTAACAAAAGGTTATTAGTGGGGATTTTGGGAGGAAAGGGCATCGATGACCCTGGTGTTTTCTCGTACAGTGTCTTGATTGATTACGGTTGGAAGGGCTTCATTGATATTGCTTAAGAGACTATCACCTTCTTCTACAACCCTGTTTTGGTATGCACTGCTTAGTTCCTTCTGATTGCATTTAGAATAATAAATATCCTCTGATGGTGCAAGGGAGAGTTTACTGTTTTATTGCGCTAAAGAATCAGCATATCGAATTCACTGAGCGAAAGACTAAAGCACAATCCATTATGTTCTAAACTCTCTGGTTGTGCCATGTTTATTTTAGTGGGCATCTTTCTGGTAGTTGTAAGGATTCTTTCCCTTTCATGGGTTTATGAATTGCCAGCAGCAGACCATGTTAGCAACTGAGTGCTCCTTGGCATTTTACTCTAAGGTATTGACCAATCCTTCAATTTCAGTCCTTTTTGTTCTCTTCCTGCTCCTTGTGTTTTAAATCTTAATTTTGGACAACTAACAGTTGGGATAAGTTAAAGTAGCTATAACATGATAGTCTAAGACCGGTCATCCATAGCTTGTGTGAGTCAGACGTTGAAAATATCATGCTACTCAATGTCAATTATCTGCAATTTGGTGCATGGGGTAGTTTGAAAAGGCTGCCAATAGCAAGTGGATGCATGACTGAGGTAAGTGAAGCCCATTTAACATATCTGTGTTTATGAATCCGATCCTGCTCTTCTTGATCTTTGCCTCAGGTTATCTGTTCAACTGGTGATACTTGATGCCTATGGTACCGTCTCTAGTGTGATTTTATTGTGTGGTAACTGCATTAATTACTCTTCATAATTCTTCCTTACGCATAAATTGTGGTGGGATGTACAGTTGCTACCATCTTGTGTTGTTTGTGCTTCTCTAATATGTTGGCGTAGTTGTTATTTTATCTTATGCAGGAATGCCTCGCTATCCTTCACCTTACCCAGCTATGATCCGTCCCATATTTTCTCCACGCCCACCTGGTGCACCAGTTGTACTTCCAATGACTCGTCCTCTTGTTCCAACTATTCCTGGCGTTCGTCCGATTATCCCTCCCATTATTAGGCCAGTTATACCTTCCGTGACACCAGCGGAGAAGCCTCAGACTACAGTCTACGTGGGCAAGATATCGCCAACTGTGGAGAATGACTTTATGCTCTCCCTTCTTCAGGTTTGTGATAAAGTTGTCTTCTTTGACTTCATGCTTCTTGTCTGTGGGAAAGTTGATTATTGTCACTGTTTTTTTCTAGTTTCTTATCATGGTTTTGCACCAGTGCAGCTTGATCCTTTCCTTATTTTGTTTCTTTTCTCTCTGTTACTTATGGAAAACAATTCATGAAGTCGTGTGGAACGGTAAAGAGTTGGAAACGTGCTCAAGATCCTTCTGATGGGACTCCTAGAGGCTTCGGCTTTTGTGAATTTGAAAATGCTGAAGGTGTTCTCCGTGCATTACGTCTGCTCAGTAAATTTAATATTGATGGGCAGGAACTGGTGGTATGTTATATTTGGCTACTTCTGGTCACGAATTGCTGATTTTCTGTTCACTTATTATCTGAGTACATTACTTGGTTTTCTGATCTTACTTATGGATTGCAAATTGCAGTTGAATGTTAATCAAGCTACACGAGAATATCTAGATCGATATGTTGAAAAGAAAACTGAAAATTTAAAGAATCTCATGGAAGGGACGACTAAGCAAGATGAGGCCTCAAATGACACAGAGAAGAGTGAACCTTCTGAGTCATCTGAAAAGGCTGGACCTGTGAAGCCTTCTCCAAATGTTTCTGAAAATGACAATGAAAAGGGTGACAAAGGCAACCATGACCTGGCCAATTTTGGTATTGTCACCACTGAAGATAAAGAAGGTGACAGGGCAGCACGCGAGAAGCTTTCAAACATGATAGAAGAGAGGCTGAAGACCAAACCTCTGCCACCACCACCTCCTCCTCCACCTCCACAACTTCCTAGTGATGGTTCTGGCAATCCAAATATCGAGCAAACCAAATCAAGGGATGGGGACTCGGACATTGATGCATTGAAAAATGGTTAGTCTTCTGAAGGGATGTGTAAAATTTACTCTTCTCCATGGTACGGGATAATGTGTAGTTCCACTGCCAAAAATCGTTTCTTTGATTGATTTCGTTCTTGTTCCCAACTTTCCAGATGCTGCTGAAGAGAAAAATAATGATGAGACGAGTAGTGATTACAAAGCAGCAAGTGAACATGATAGGCCTGAGGTAAGCTCACCAGACAGGAACAGAAGGTATGATAGAAGGGGCAGAGACAAGGACAGAGATCTTAAGCGTGAAAAGGACCGAGAGATAGAAAGATATGAGAGGGAAACAGAAAGAGAACGGGTTAGAAAGGAGAGGGAACTGAGAAGAAAGATGGAAGAGGCTGATCGTGAATATGAGGAACGTCTAAGAGATTGGGAATATAGAGAGAGAGAAAAAGAGAAACAACGACAGTATGAGAAAGAAAGGGAGAAAGAAAAAGATCGCAAGCGGAAGAAGGAGATTCTTCATGATGAAGAAGATGAAGATGATGATTCTGGGAAAAAATGGCGGAGGAGTGTTGTAGAGGAGAAGAGAAGAAAAAGGCAACGGGAGAAAGAGGAGGACTTAGCTGACAGGCTAAAAGAAGAGGAAGAGATTGCTGAGGCCAAGAAGATGGCAGAAGAGGAAAAAATGTTACAGCAAGAAAAAGAGGCACTAAAACTTCCACATGCAGATCTTGTGAATGGTAGTGAGAAGCCTGCTTCTCCTTATGACATGTTTATGGAAACTGCAGATGAAGTCATTGAACAGGGTGGCGAGGGTGATTCTGTTAGTGCCAATCATACAGGTGCTTCTGAGAACATTTAGGCTTTGTATTTTCCTTTACTGATTCCCTTGGCTGGTTTGCAGATTATAAAATTTGTTGAAACTTCATATTACAGGTGATGAGGGCGTGCAGAATGGTGCTAGTGAGGTTTCAACTGTGCCGATGCTCGAATCAGAAGTGCAGCAGCAGAGTACTAATGCTCCAACAAGAAAGTTGGGATTTGGTTTAGTTGGGTCTGGAAAACGTGCTGCTGTACCTTCAGTGTTCCATGAGGAGGAGGATCCTCATAAGGAGAAAAAAATGAGGCCCCTAGTTCCCATAGATTATTCAACAGAGGAATTGCAAGCCGTTCAACCTGTTACTGCTGGAGCTCAACCACCAAATCTAGCTGCTGCTGCAGAATATGCAAAGCAGATATCAAATATTGCTCCGCGGGAAGAGAAATCTGAAGTTGAAAGGGACAATAATAAACGTTCTCATAATAGGTCTGGTCGGCGGGACAAAAATGATGAGTATGGTCATCAACGATCCAGAGAAGAGAACAGAGAGAAGAGCGGACGAGACAGAGACCGAGATCATGGTCTGGATAATGTGAAGACCCCTGATAAACAGAAGCTTTTAGATGCAAAACAGCTGATTGATATGATTCCGAAAACCAAGGACGAGCTATTCTCATACGAGATCAATTGGACTGTTTATGACAAGGTACATTGCCCATCTTCAGCTGTCATGTTCCCTAACTATATTTGTCATCAAGTTACATAACATAGCGCTCATGTGAAGCTAATGATCCTTGGTAGGGCGACTTTTTCCCTTAATGGAGCTTGGAAAAAAGTTTGGTACCGTACTGATATTTGGTATATACCAACCGTTTTTTCCCAAGATGTCCAAGGGAAAAGTTGTCAAGGCCTAGCACTAGCAAGCAGGGTCAATACATACATAATAAATTTTTAAGTCCTTATGGACACATGCCATTTATTTACGATAGTGGGCCTCTATGGTCCTCCTTTTTCCTGTTTTGCAGCACTCGCTACATGATAGAATGAGACCATGGATTTCAAAGAAGATTACAGAGTTTCTGGGAGAGGAAGAAACCACATTAGTAGACTACATTGTGTCAAGTACTAGGGAGCATGTTAAGGCTGCACAAATGCTGGAGATGCTTCAGTCCATACTAGACGATGAGGCCGAGATGTTTGTGCTCAAAATGTGGAGGATGCTCATCTTTGAGATTAAAAAGGTGGAGTCAGGCCTGGCTTTGAAGTCCAAATCATGAGGTTGGTGATTTCTGGTTTTTATCAGAGGGATACTATTCAGATGTAGGACTATTATCGTGGGAAAAGAGTAGTAGCAATGTTCTTTCTCTGGATTATGCTCCGGTTCGATTATTACTTTTCGAGCAGGTGGTTTTCCATGAGATGAGCTGCTCTGTTGCATTTGCGATTTAGATGTGGAAGACGAGATTAGATGTTGAAAGTGTGTTTAGAGGAATTGCGTGATGGTTTTGGGCAAGGCATGCAGAGGGGACTGTTCTACGGGACGTCCTTGGATAGAAGTTGGAAAGTGAAATTGTGGTATTTGATATGCAGCTTTTTTGTTCACCATGCATTCAATTTAGTTAGAATAAAATAAATTTTCAGTATAGCTGCGTCACTGAAGTATAGCTATCTCGTTGTGGCTCAGATGAGAGTAAAATCTTTTAACCTGGTGATCAAGAGGATGTTGTTTGCCCAATTACTGTTGCATGTGTTTTGCTTTTGAAGAATCATCGGACCACAATTCGCAACGCTTGTTTGGAATTATTTTCACTTCCGTCTTAAGTTGTTGGGACCTATTCTGAGGCTCTGTAGGAGGGATTTGCTGTTGGAATGAAATGCATTTTCAAGAGGGTGTCGTTTCAAGAAAATACGTCTATAACCAATTATGATATTCTGTCTACAACCAATTATGATATTCTGGCAACCAATTATGATATTCTGGCACTTATGGATTGAAAGAAACTCAAATATTTTCAGGAATAAAATTGAGAGTGTCTATCAGCAGGGCAATATGTGAATGTGGGGTGGCAAAAATATCCGTAATTGTGGATATTCGTCCGAATCCGACCTAATCGGGTAGGGTAAAATTCGAATTCGAAGAATTTTTAGTGTGTACGGGTAAAACCTGAACCCAAACATTGCGGGGAATGGGTGGACATGATTTTCTCGCTATCCAACCCGAGCCCACCGGATTATACACTTGCATATGTATTTTGTCTAGAAATAATCAATATTTTTCTCTAACATATTTTATGTTTAGCATATGAATATAATGTTTTTGAAATTGTATTGTTTTAATTAATTTTGTTCATTCTAGTGAATAATTGTCGTATTTTTCGTCTTACGTAACGTGAGAATACGTATGAATATTAATATATTGGTTGAAGTTATAAAGAGAAACAATTACCCATGGATAACCATGGATACCCAAAACCCGAACGGATATGGACATGGTTTAGATTTTCTACCCGTTTATTATGTAGGTATGATAAAACCCGAACTACTTTGAGTAGGGTAGCGGGTATGCACTTGCCGTCTCTGACCCGACCCATTGTCATCCCTAGTTTCCTCGCACATAAGTTGGTCTCTCCTCCTGAAAGAGTCCCTCTTTGCTCTTTATTTTTTGGAAACAATTATGTTATGGCCTTTCCACCTCAATGAAAGTTTACTTTTGTAATTTCTCCTTCTCATTGTATCTTTCTTCGGGTAAATTGCAAGTTTGGTCACTAAAATTACTTAAAAAGTTTACGTTTGCCACTAAAATTAATTTATTCCATTTGTAGTCACTCAAATTTATAAATTAGTTCAACAGTTCAAGTTTGGTCACTCTCCATTAACTTTATCTGACATGGCAGTCAACTGTTATATTTGTTCAAAAAGAATACTAATTTTTTGTAATTCCTTAAACCACCCATAGTGAATTCCTACCAACCTAATCAAACCTTCCCCTCGTCTCCGCCTAGGGCTGCAAACGAGCCGAGTCGAGTCGAGTTTTTGCTTAGCTTGAGCTCGGCTCGTTTATTAATTTTTCAGCTCGAGCTCGACTCGAACTCGAATTTTGATAATCCAGCTCGAGCTTGAGCTCGGCTTGAATAAAAATAATCCAGCTCGAGCTCGACTCGGTAGAGCTCGATAAATGCTCATTAACATACATTGTCAAGCTGAGTACAAGCTCGACTCAAGATGAGCTCGATTTAAAATCATTTTTGCTGGAAAAATGTATAAACATAAGAATTTAAATGATGGAAAGAACACAAGAAACTATAAATAACATTTAAATTTCATACACATCTGTATTAGAAGACAATGTTCATGTTTTAAAGAGTAATTCATCATTTCACAAGGTCAAAACAAGGCAGCTCGCGAGCTTAGCTCGACAAGCCGCCGAATCAAACTAGCTCGCGAGCTTATCAAGCTGAGCATGGTCTAGCTCAGGCTTGGCTCGTTAACTAACGAGTTGGCTCGCGAGCCGGCTTGTTAAATAACGAGTCGAGTGTCGAACGAGTTTTTCCCGATTCGAACGCCGAGTTGCTCGCGAGCGGCTTGGCTTATTTGCAGCCCTATGACTCCGCCCAAACCAACCCAAGCCTGCTCCGGCGGCCACCACCCGCAGCCTACCTCCGACCTCGCATTATCCCGACCAACATTAAAAAAGAAACCAGTCCATCTATTCACATATCAAAACCCTCACAGTATCCAAAAAATACATCTCACCTCCCTTGTCTTTGATGGCTTTCCATCTCCGCCGCAAATAAGAATCATTCAACCAAATAAGAATCATATACGCAAGGATCCGAATCCAAGCCTGAATCAAAATTTCACCCATGAATGGCGCTCAAGTTACCCCTAAAATAAACAGCCTGAATAAAAGTTTCACCCGTGAATGGCGCTCCGCTCGCCGTCCCAATCCCACCACTGGAACTCGCCAATTCAGCACCGGGTTCCTGTCTTCCTCAAGAACACGAACCCTAAATTCATAAACCCTTTCACCTCTTCGAACTCCAGTCCAACCCTCCTTCCTCCCCCATTAACCCATATCCACGACCACCAGTAGGGTGCGTTAAAATAAATGTTGGTTAGTTTCATATTGATGAATTACAGGAGGTAATGTTTTGTTTTGGAAGTAGGAATCCCCGATCTTGTTCTGGAAGCGTTGTGGCGGAGTTGCACCGGCGGAGTAGTAGTAGGGTCGGGATATGGAGAGAAGAATGAAGGAGGAAATAATGTTTTGTTTTATTTATTTTTTAATTTATAAGGATGATGAGGTGGAATTTTTAAGAGATTAAATTATTATTTTTAATTGTCACATCATTTATTTAACGGTAAACTTTTAGTGTTGACTGTCAGGTCAGATAAAGTTAACGGAGACTAACGGAGAGTGACCAAACTTAAAATGTTGATGTAACATCCCTGCCCTCGTACTAGTATTACGTTATAATTACGTGGTTATGATTGGGTTACAAAAATTAGTCTTTTGAACCAAAAAGAAAGTGAATAGTGGAAGTGCTAGACTTAATTGCAAGTGAAGGAAAGTTTGGGGCCAAATAGACAATTTGGAGGGATGGAGAATTCTATATAAGTGAGCTAAAATCTGCCCATCCTCTTATCTCTCATTTCCTTCTCATCCCTTCCCCTCACTCTCTCCCACGTCTCTCTCTCTTGCTCTCTTCCTTTCACCTGGTTTCACCACCTCAAAAACCACCACCCCCTTTCAGAAACAAAGAGTGAAAGCTAGAAAGAAAAGCATATCAAGGAGAGGAAGAGGAAGAAGAAGGAGGCAAAAGGGGTGCTGCCAATTTCCGTCCAGCAGCGAGACAGCCTGTGAGAAGGACGATTCCGGACAATCAAACCGTTGGATCGTCCTGAGATCTTTAGGTTGGGTTTCATACTTCTTTGGATATGATTTGACCGTTGGGATCATCGATATGATCTCTGGTTCATCGAGGAAAGTCACTGGACAGAAGGGGTGCGATACTGTTTTTCTGTAGCAGGACAGCAGATTAGAGGTAAGATCCTGTGCGAATCCGCCGTTGGATCGTTCTAGAAATTTGGTATGAGGTTAAGTATAGGTGGTTCTTCGAATGGACCGTTCAGAATGTAGTTTTGATGTCGGAGTGGTCAGGAACAATTGTTAGAAGAAGGAGAGTTGGTTTTAAAGTGAAAAGAAAGTTGTTGACAGTTTTGAAATGTCAAGTTAAAATGATTGCTGGGATCAAAAGGCTGATCCAAATGGTCTGAAATTTGGATATGTTGTAGCCCTATGAATCTAGTTTCAGTAGCAACGAGAATCAACTGATTTGGTTAAGTATCAAGGGAGCAATGATCAAAATGATGAAGCAGGGTAAAGTGTACGGTTGTATGACTTCCCTAGTGGTCTTATCGACATGCATGGACACAACCATGATTTTGATGACTGTATACGTATCTTGGTGCTTGAATAACCTGGAAATCTTGTACATAAAGGTAAGGATCAAGCCGGGGGCTCATCCAAAGGCAAGGGCATAGCCGAGTGAAGACAAAGCTGTGAGTAGATTCTAATCTTAGATCTACTTCAACATAATCACAGTATTCGGGTCATGAAGCGGCCCGAATACATATCGGGGTCATGAAGAGGCTCCGGTATAATATGGGAATTTATGGGAAATGATATGGCTATGTGATATGGCTTGTTTGTGTTTATTCATTATCTGCATTTGGTATGAAGTTGGAAATGCATGAATTGTGAATGAGATATGGAAAGACATTTTGTTGATTTATTGTGCGGATTATGAGCAAGTAGTCGAACTTGCGAACCCGTCTTGTCTGTTCATATTTGGAGTAAGCCATTAGGCTTACTAATCCTGTTCTGCTTGAATAACTCGGAGTAAGCTCTTCAGCTTACATTCCATTCTGTTGTGACTGAGGGTACAAAAGCACTATGAATGCTTTTGAGCCTATAGTGTCTAAGTGAACTATTAATGAAAAGAGGTGAATACTTAAGAATAAGTAAAAAGGTTTTATGATACCTCGGTACAGTAGTGTGTCCTGTTTGTATCGATGTGGTTAAACCCCACGATACTCCTGTTTGAGCGCTCGTGCTTCGCACCGTGCCGTTTGGGTGACGACCCACGGTACTCCTGTTCTGTTCAGTTAGCCGGGCTGGGGTAATCCCGTGGCGACTCCTGTTTTTGTATCGGTCCGGGTTGTGTCCCGCGATATTCCTGTTGGTGCGAGCACTCCTGTTTCGTGCCTTGAGCACTCCTGTTTCGTGCCTTGTGCACTCCTGTTCGTACCGGATGGGGTTTTGTCCCGCTGTACTCCAGTTATCTAATGGCTGTACATGGTTATCCTGCAGCCTTCCACTACTGTACTACCCGAGGAGTATATCATTTAGCAAGTTTGAAAGTGAAATTGTATAAGTAAAATGCCTCTATCTGTCATCTGTTTTATGTGTTTTTGACTATGAGATGTGAACATTGTGAACTTGATTGATCCTGTGGAATGAAAAGTAGAATAATCAGCTTAAGTCCTGTTATGTGCTAGGGTGTTTCTGCCCAATACTGTTTTTGTATTGATGTCGATCTGAGCTTAGAATTTATTCACTGAGCGACGACTCATCCTTCGTCACCATTTTTCCTCAGATCAAGATCAG